TTGAAATGTACTTCAGTAAAAAGTACCCATAACTAGCAGCTGTTTTAAAGAGTACCTGACCTCCCTTTATATTAATAGAACAATAATGTCATTGTTAGCTAATGAATGTTTCCATGCTGAACAGCTACTATGTACTCCACTACTTCCCGTGTGTGTGTGTGTGTGTGTGTGTGTGTGTGTGTGTGTGTGTGTGTGTGTGTGTGTGTGTGTGTGTGTGTGTGTGTGTGTGTGTGTGTGTGTGTGTGTGTGTGTGTTACCTGTCCACACTCAGAGCACACAGGTTGAGCACGGTGATGCCGACGGAGGTTTTCTGCAGGAAGGGAAACAGCTTGCAGAGAAACAGCCCGAACACACTGTCTGCAAACGGCCAGGTCATCGCCAGCAGCTACACACACACACACACACACACACACACACACACACACACACACACACACACACACACACACACACACACACACACACAGATTATTAAGTGTGTGTTATCTCAGTCAGGGGATATTTTAGTGCTCTTATCTGTCTAACACTCAACCTACTGACTGATAAACACACCACAGACAAGTGTGTGTGTATCCCATAATGCATTGCTGCTCCTGTAAACTCAGCACACTGCTCCCATCTCCCCAAGTTCCATTATTACAATTTGTGTCCTACTTGAATTCCTTATTTCAGGCATAGAAACAGATCAGAATGAGGAATAGAAACCACATGCATTATGTCAAATAACATCCATTTATACAAAATGATGCGGTGAAAGTGAGTTTGACCCCCCCCTGCCTTAGATACTGATAAAACAAACAAACAAACCCCTGAATCTGTTTACCTTGTACACGTTGATTGGTATGTCGATGGCGATGTAGATCAGGTCTCCTAAAGCCAGACTGGCTATCAGCGCGTTGGGGCCGTTCCTCATGCTTTTATTTTGGTAGATGATCCTCAGCAGGGTGGCGTTCCCGATGATCCCCACGGCGAAAATAAGGCAGGACAACACGGTGTTGATGTATTTGAAGGCGGTGTTTATGGAGGTGACTTTTAGGCAGCTAGGGGGCGACAGAGGGCGTCTTTTCAACAACAACGAGGCGTTCAGGGACTGCTTTCGTTCGTGTTTGTTGTGTTTCAGCTTGTTGTGTTTTGGTTTGGATTTCTCCAGCAGGGTCGGGGGTTTGATGGCGGTTTCTTGGAGCAGATTTGGTTCCCGTTGAGGCGGGTCGGTGCTATGAAGGTTTGACATGTCCGATGAGACGGTTCTTTGGGATCCAACGGGGGCGATGGCCGTCAAACACGAGGCGAGAAGCAGCAAGAAAACAAGGCTGGGTGTGGAGGGGGATCTGGACCTGGATTTGTTGCCAGAACCCTTTTCTGAATCCATTTCTACGGCTCCAGAAAACATCTTCAACCCGCCTTACCCCGGTGGAAATGTAGAAGTATTTCCAGAACTTCTTTATTCGCTTTAGAACAAACTCAACAAACGAAAGCGACAACTTAATAACCCAACGTTAGTCTAGATCAAAATGTCAAGACCTTGTAGAACTTTTCTTAGTTTTAGAACGAGCGCTAGATCCTGCAATTTAACAATTAAACAGCTCTGAACAAACGACGGCGGGAAACAACGTTAATATCTGCTAGAGTTGTGTAAATCTGACGCAATATTAAAACAACTTGTAGAGCTTTTCGTCCTCTAGAATACACGCTTACACTTTAACGGCAAAGAAACTAATGATAACTAAATAGAGCGATATATGTGTTGCTTTTGGGTATATTTGTTTTATTTGTTTTTATGACGCTTCATAATGCTTAAACATTACCAGCAGAAATGTCCTTTAGCTCAGACCTCTGACATCCAGCGTTTACAATATATAATTTACGGATTTCACATTTCGTTGCAATCCAAAATAACCGCGAATCGTCCAGGAGGAGTTGTTGTATTGTTGTTCCAGAAAGAAAAAGCTCTGAGTTCAAGAAGCTTGTTGACATTTGATGATTTCAGGCTTTGAGGAAATCTGTGGAGCAGAAACAAACAAACCACGGTCTTTATTAGAAAGGGATGTTTCTCTAAATGTTAGATTCGACCTAAGACAATTCATCTGTGTTGAAGTTACATTACATGACGTGTTATTTGTTAGACCCTTTTATCCAAAGCGACTAACATACTGAATACTGTGGACAATCACCACAGGAGCAATTTGGGGTGAAGTGTCTCAGGGACGAAACGACATGCTGACTGCAGTGGGGTTTGAACCTGAACCCCTGATCCCAACACCAACGCACAACCCACTGCGCCACACGCCTAATTAACCACTTAGTAGGTTGCTATCATCCATTGGGAAGATAGTAAACCAAAAGACACAAGATAACAGACACAAGTCTTCCGCTAAATGTTCTGCAGGTCAATGTGTGTCTGCATTTAAGATCTTAATGTCCGTCTGGCTGTTGCTTGTTTGGATAAAAGTATTTCTGTCCCCAGAGTCAGAACTAAACACGGAGAAGTTCAGTTATTATACTCTAAATATTTGGAACAAACTCCCAGAAACCTGCAGGTCCGCTGCAACTCTGACTACTTTTAAATCCAGGCTGAAGACTTTTCTTTTTGCCGCTGCTTTTAATTGAAACTGAGCCGTTGTGTTTCAGGGAATCCGTGTCTGGGGACTTTGTCCTGGCTGGGACGCACGTGCCATACAAGCGTACACAGCTCATGTTCGGAGAAACTTCAAAGAAAGGCATCAGTAAAATTGAACTTCTGTGTGAACTATTCATATCTTAAACTGCACTGTAACTTTTTATTCATGTATTTTTCTTTTAATGTTTCTTTTATTATCTTTTCTTTTAAATGCCTTTGTCTGAATGTCTTTCATTTCTGTAAAGCACCTTGCATTGCCTTGCGTTGAAAGGTGCTGTATAAATAAACTTGCCTTCTACTATTTAAAAAGTCCCAGCTTTGAAGTCAGGGTGAAGACGAAACAAAGCAACAAGTTATTAAAGGTCTACGTCTCTGGTCATGTGACACAAAGGCTTTCTTAAAATGTGAACAAATGTTACAGAGTTGGAAAATTGTGGAATAATTTCCTCCAAAATTCAAATAGCATTTTTTTTTAAAAGAAGGATTTCTCACCTCAGTGTTATTCTGTTCAAATAAATGAAATCCAAACTCAATGCAACCAGAGGAGAAGCGTGTTCTCTGTACGATATACACGATACAGAGTGATTGTATGCAGGCAAAGGGATAAAACTGTATCGGTATATTAGTTAAATAATCAGCAAAGTGAGTTTTAATACATTTCGTTTTATGCTTATTGCAAAAGCCCATAATGAGCTACAATGTATTTTACTCTGTGAGCCCTTAGCGGCCGACACGGTAGTTGAGCCGAGAATACACGTGGATTATTTTTGCAAATTAGTGCATTATGATCAACTAACAATTACTCTTATTAAACTTTGTAAATCCCCCAAAAATGTGGAATAATTTTAGTCAAAGCTCAAATTGAGAAAGCAAGATCTTTGTGTTGAATCTCACCTTTTCTGTTTGTCCGTCTTCTTCCGTTAAAATAAATGAAATCCAAGCAGAGAAGAAGAAGAAAAAGAAGAAGTGTTTCTCTGCGTCCTCCAGATTGAACTAACGCAGTCAGACTGAAGCTCTCACTTTGTCTCCCCCTCTTTACAGTGGAACATCCCATAAACTCTGACACCATCTTTACTATCTAACACACACACACACACGCGCACACACACGCACGCACACACGCACACACACGCACACACACAGACCATACTTGTCAACCCCCCCGATTTCCGCGGGAGACTCCCGATTTCATTGCCCTCTCCCGGTTTCCTCCCGGGGTCATATTTCTCCCGCATTTCTCCCGATTTCTGACAAAATCAGATGTACTCAGGACTGTTTCCACTCGGATACAGCAACACCATTGTTTGATTTCCATGGTAACACGTCTCTTTAGTAGCGCGCGCAACTGAAAGTCTGAGAGGGTGAGGCAGATAGTCACAGAAAGCAGAACAAGAATCGACAACTACTCTCTGCTCACTCCTTTCCTGTAAAATACAGGTCCAGCCCACACATATGCTCCATCAAGGATGGTGCTACAGGCCGCAAGGCATTGCACTTAGAACTACAGTAAGCATGTTAATGTTAATCTAACAGCTCCGGAGATCCACTAGCACCCCCCTCCCCCCCATTTAGCATTTTGAAATCCTCCCGATTTCTGAGGTCTCAAGGTTGGCAAGTATGACACACACACACACACACACACACACACACACACACACACACACACACTCACAAGCACACACACACACACACACACACACACACACACACACACACACACACACACACACACACACACACACACACACACACACACACACGCTTACGTGATTGAACGCAGCTTCTCCAAAGAGTCACTTCATAAACCGTGTTGTGGAAATTGAGGCAGTGAAACTTCATTTAGACAAAAAGCTGGACTTAATTGGCCCGTTTGAACTCGAGTGATAGCAAAGGCTTTATTATGAAACCACGTTAAACTGCTTTACTCCACTTTATCCTGTAGGATTTTAACTTATTAAATGTGCACACGGACGTGGTTCATACTGCATCTAAAGAACGCTTCTAATTAAACTGAATGATAAAAGAAATGTTGTTTAGTGAGGCTTCCTGCAGCGTCTCGTTGCTGTTCATGATGCAGCGTTCACTCAGAAAGGATCTTATTTAAAATCAGAGAACATTCATTGTTAGACAAATGTGTAAAAGAAAATTGTAAGAAATACATGTATAAAGTATACTGACTATATACGTAACATTTTTTGATAAAAATAAGTTTAACATGTAATTGTAATGAAGAAATATGTGTAAAGAAATAAGAAGAAAATATTTTTTTAAATCAGAAAAATACTCAAATCAATCTGAAAGAATTATATAAATATTATTATGTTATAAAAGCAGTGACTCCCTGTTTGTGTGTATATTTAAATACATCTGAAAAATGTCAAAAGATTCAAAGTAAAATGTTTAGAAAAAAGATCCGAAAAATAAGTTTAAGGAAAGTCTCGAAATGGTTTGGAATGAAAATGAAAAACTAGGGTTAGATTTAGGAATCTGTTTTCTAAGAAACTCATGAAAGATATGATTTTTAGAAACACTTCTTCCTCACAACACAAAGCCACACACATGATGAAGATCTGATGAAGACGATGCTCCAGATTGAACATTATAGAAAGCACTTAGCCTGCGACCCGCTCTCAGACTGACTCCAGTTCAGTTTGTTTCAGTGTTTCAGTAAACAGAGAGATACACAGATTAAAGCTGTACGTGACTCCTACCATGCAGGCAGAGCACACACACACACACACACACACACACACACACACACACACACACACACACACACACACACACACACACACACACACACACACACACACACACACACACACAGTATTTCATATATCAGTTCACACAACTTTACAGACGTACGTATTTCATTCAGTGTGTGTCCACCCAGCCTTCACCCTCCGCCTGCTGGAGACACTGATCCGCCTGCTGCCGCGCCGCCTGGAGGTCGCCTGGAGAGGAAGAATGTGCAGTAAACTCACATTTAAAATCAC